TCCCTGGGCTCAGGCAGCAGGTGGGAGTGGAGAGGATGAGAGGAGCCTGCAGCAGTTACAGGTGGAGGGGCGGTCCCTGGGCTCAGGCAGCAGGTTGGAGTGGAGAGGATGAGAGGAGCCTGCAGCAGTTACAGGTGGAGGGGAGGTCTCTGGGCTCAGGCAGCAGGTGGGAGTGGAGAGGATGCAGAGGAGCCTGCAGCAGTTACAGGTGGAGGGGAGGTCTCTGGGCTCAGGCAGCAGGTTGGAGTGGAGAGGATGAGAGGAGCCTGCAGCAGTTACAGGCACCTGGACTCAGGCAGCAGGTTGGAGTGGAGAGGATGCAGAGGAGCCTGGCACAGCTCTTTACAGAAGCGATCCGTATTCAGAGACTGGATACAAGGGGACAACCAGAGAGAGTCAGGGAGAGAACTGAGGGACTTTGCAAACTGGTGTCCTTGGGAGTGAAATGCAAGGTACAGCAGGACCCTGAGTGTGACAGAGGCAAAGTCAGACAGAACAGGACTGAAGCCACAGCCTGTCTCTGAACCTCCAGGATGCCAAGGGCATGCGGACTGGGTGGGAGAATGGGTAGGCGAGGATTGTCCTGTTTTATAAACTAGTCTTGTTCCACTGCCAGGGTGGGGAGCCTAGCTACAGAGCCCAGTGCTGACGGGGCTGGAGTGGAGCTGGTCCTTGCTTGCCATGCTGGAGGCAGCGTAATTTAAGAAAATATTTTTGGAAAGTGATTTGCATACCATCCAAATCCTAAAATTGTTCCAACAATTTGACCCAGTAATCCTGCATGTGGGAATTTGTCCTAAGGAAATAGTTCAAAAGAATGAAAGGTCTATGTTCATCCATCTCCATGTTAATTAATTAATTAAGTAATTAAAAATGGTGCCTTGTACTATAGCCATTCCAAGAATTCTGCTAGATGAATGAACATGTGTGTTGTGGCAATGTATATAATTAGAACACAGTAAACAACCTAAACTACTTAAATGTATGGAACATCAGTGTGCTAGTCTCCCCTTATCCTGGGGGGAGTTATGTTCCAAGACCCCCAGTGGATGCCTGGAACTGAGCATAGCACTGAACCCTGAACACTCTGTTCGTTTGCTCTTGTAACTCGACAGCTGCAAAGTGACTCCCAGGCAGGCAGTGTGTATAGCGTGGCTACACTAGACCAGGGGTCCTCAAGCTTTTTAAACAGGAGCCAGTTCACTGTCCCTCAGACCGTTGGAGGGCCAGACTACGGGCCCTGGGATGAGTCGGCTGCTAAGCAGGACAGGCAGCAGCAGCAAAAACACCCAGCAAGCTGGATAAATGTCCTAGGCAGGCTGCATGTGGCCCACGGGCCATAGTTTGAGGATGCCTGCACTAGACAAAGGTCCCAGGTGGGACAGCGTGGGATGGCGTGAGATTTCATCACAATACTCAAAACTCATAAACTATTTCTGGAATTTTCCATTTGCTATATTCAGACCATGGTTAACTGTGGGTAACTGAAACCACGTGAAACAAACCCTGGGATATGGGGAGGCTATGTGCTGTGTTATGCATTAGTGCTTTGTGGCACAAGCAGAATTCAAGGCACCCTGCTTGCTGCTGGGGTAGGTGCATATTCTCAGGAGTTTACCACCTGCGCTTGGATGCCCACTGGGCTTTGCCCTGAGCTACCTGATCTTGGCCAGTTCACTGGCGCCTCTGAGGCTCAGGGTCTTAAGCGTTACTACCACCCCATGGGGTTTGCTGTCAAGACCAAATGAGAAAAAGCATGCGAAGTGCTTGGCACAATTCCTAGCCCAAAAGTACTCAGTAAAAGCCAACTGTTATTTTGAGTATATAAAAGCTGAGGGCCAACTGAAAAAGACTGTCAGAGACTGCCCCAAATTTATAGCCCCCAGAAATATTATGCGTGACTTGTCTCCCATATTTTGTTGAGTATCATTGCACTAAGAATTCTGAAGTTACAAGTGACACAGAAAATCCAGAAATAGGTAAAGTGCATTGACCCATCTGTCCATCCGAGGGAGGTGAGAATGATGGGCAGTCCTGTGTGTCCTCTCCCCAGCCGTGTTTGGTCAGCGCTTGGATGAGACTGTGGCCTATGAGCAGAAATTCGGTCCTCATCTGGTGCCCATCCTGGTGGAGAAGTGTGCAGAGTTCATCCTCGAGCATGGCCTGAACGAAGAGGGCATCTTCCGACTGCCTGGGCAGGACAACCTGGTAAAGCAGCTGAGAGATGCTTTTGATGCCGGGGAGCGGCCCTCCTTCGACAGGTATGCTGTCCTCCCCTGCAGCGTCCCACCTCTGCCCTCCCCACTGCCTGGCTTGGGTGAGAGGACCTCTCCATTCAGGTGAGCTAAGGATTTGCACAGACACATGTGAGAGCCCTGGCTTGAGACATAATTCAAAATCTGAGAGCCAAGAGCACAGTTAGGAGAGAATCAGATAGTTTGTGTGACAGATGGTGGGAACCAGAGCTAGAGCCTTGCTGGGGGGATTCGGGTGAGGTTCAAAATATTGGGGAAGGAGATGTACCGAAGATGGGACCTAACTGAGACCCACTCTTTGGTAAATGAGGAACACAGAGTGCTGAGCCAACTTTACGAACATTCAGTGTGGTGGGGAACACACTGCATCTAATCCGAGGGCACCAGTGGCCTTCCAGAACCAGAGCTTCTCATTCATTTCTGAGACCACAGGACTGTGTGATTCTGATTCAGTTTGGAGCCCTTTTGGAGGGCTAGTGTCCTGATGAACTGCTGTCTCGGCAGCTCGATGTTGCCACCTCTCCTCTGTGGATGTTGCCTGGCCTTCTCCGGAGCAGATGGGGCATAGTGACACTTCTTCCCACTATCCCTCTCCCTGCTGCCACCTCCAGCCACTCGCCTGAGGCCTCCCTCCCTGCCACACTCTGCGAGTGCAAACCCCAATGTGCACCCCATGTCTGTTGTGCAATATTCACCGGGTTGCCTGTGTGTACTTGTCCTGCTGGCAAAAGAATGACCGTTCTTTCCAAATTAGCAGCTGAAAACCAGGATTTAGTAAATTGGGCCTGAATGCTATTCAGTTTCTAAAAACTGAAATTCTCCAGAGCTTATTTAGGCCAAAGGGGTAGGACTGATTCTGGGAAAACCGTGAAGCCCTAAGCATCACGCTGGTGTGGTCTCTCCCTCACCCTGCACTCTAATCACCAGTGCTGCCCACTCTTCCCCTGAAACACTGCTGAGACCCATCGGTTTGTCTCCATGTTCATGGCCAGTCTTAGAGTGTGGACCACTATCATTGTCATGCAGTAAGTTAATTTACCAAGGGTGCTGTATTTCAGTACTCCAGGGTCTGCTAAGGAAGCAAAGGTATGGGTTTTGTTACTGGAACTACAGCAGGTTATGGGCAACACATTTAGGGACCTTCAGCAGCACCATAAAGTACGTGTTATTTTCCAGCACCTGTTCCATTACACTCACCACATTTATATCAGTTTTCTTCTTATGTTTTTAATTCATTTTGACTTGATCAAAAGATACAGGTGAGTTGTTGCTAAAGCAATCCAAACAGTGTGCCAAAAGGAACAGAGATTACTGGTATTTGCCAAGTCACTGACTTAAGCTTTAGCTTACGCATCTACCTGTAAAGTTCATAAGCACCTATGGGTGGTGGCATCAGAGTCTTTGATTCCTGTGAAATACTGGGGGCTGGAAAGAGAAGAGTTACCACACTTTGTCATGACATCTTCACCTCTAGAACTGAGAGGCCAAGTTTACTCAGAAATAGGAAGGGTCGGTTGCCTGGGGCTCTTCAGGGTCCTGCCAGGGTGGACTCTTGGGTTCACGTGACTCTTGAGAGAACAAGTTTTGGGAGGTATGACTGGTTCTTATTTGATTCTTGTTTAGTTGCATTTACACATACTTAGGAGCCAGACCTCCTCTCAGAGCATGTCTCAGATTAAAGGAAACATCTTCTCCACCCATGGATTATCAGAACAAAGCATCCCATGGGCTTTGAATGGGCCTCCAAGTAGAGTGAGCAGAGCCCACCCCAGTGCCCAGCTTTCCATTTCTTCGTCTTCTGTGATGTGATATGAAAGCCTAATCTCACATTGGACCACCGAGTTTTGAAATTATTTTCATACACATTTCTGATTTGACCCTCAAGGCAAACCTGGAGAGCAGGGCTATTGCCATTCTGCAGGTGATGAAGCGGCCTTAGAAAGACCAAGCAACTCATCAAGGGGCAGGCAGCCTGTTCCTGGGCTATGAAGAGTCAGCCTCAGGTCGTCTCACCCCTGGGTCACTGCCAACTCCAGAAACCCTCCCCTTCCCTTTCTCTTGCCCTCGCCTACCCCCTTCCACTCTTCCCCACTTCTCCCCCCACCCACACACATATACAATTCTGGTGAACAGTCTCAAGGTGGATCTCTTCCCCTCCCATCCCCAGGCCAGCCTCGTGCTCAAGAAATCATCTAACACTGGTCACTTTCACTTCAGAGTTAATTTGCCAGTTTTGTTGACCTCTCTTGGGTTATTGGCTTCTTAAACCTTTACCGTAGTTGTAGATTTTGTTGCCCCCTGTAAGAGACATTTTAGGAGGCAGTGAGTGGAAGAGGGGGTTGAGGAGAGTGGAGAGCCCCTTCCTGGTGCCTTGACATCACTCCTGTGGGCACTCACCTAGATCCATGTGCTCAGTTCCACCCCAAGACCCCACCACCCCATTGCCTCATTAGAACAAAGGAAAACAAAGGAGCTCTTGTTTGATGAGAATTTAGTGCAGTGGATAAGTATCATTAACTATATAATGAAATTTTAAGTTACGTCCAGTTTCTACTAGGATGGATAATTTCTACTAGGATGGATAATTTCTGGCCATAAAGCTGGCATACTTCCCACACCTACATTTCTGTGACAAATGGACTTACAGATATAGGGACCATTTCAGCAGCACCATAAAGTACATGTCATTTTTCAGCACCTGTTCCATTACACTCACCACATTTATATTCAGTTTTCCCGCTATCCCTCTCCCTGCTGCCAATATGCCACGTTGCAAGCATTGGTGCCCTAGAGAAGGGTTGGCAAAGCCAACTGAGGGGCCCTGGGTAATCTCTGATGGATCAGCTGTCAAGCTCAGAAGCTAGCTGATTTGCTCTTAGCCCCTGATTAAAAATATATATGTATATATTTAGGGATGTTCCATTGGGTTGGAGGAACAGCAAAATCAGAGAAAATAATGCTGGAAACTTAGATCACAGAATTGGCCTCTGAGTTAGCCCTATTACAGGGGAACCAACATTAAAACAAAAATTTACAGAAATAACTGTGTAAGTTCCATTATGTTAAGTGCTAAACATAAAACATAGCACTATGATAACTTAGAGTAGGGAGCTTTTGACATGGTCTGGTGGATTTAGGGAGGTCCCCAAGAAAATGACATTAAAACAGAGACCCAGTAAACAAAGAATGAGGAGTGAGCCAGACTTAGGGGACATGGCTTCTCAGCCTTATCTTTGGTGAAATGAATATGGAAGCTTTATGTAGGTTTCAGCATTTTAAGACAATTTATATAGTTAATTGTGTTCTTATATTAAGTCATTGAAGTACCCATACTACATCTTTCATTGTAACCCTGCCTCTTTTCTAATATTGGATATTTTTGTTGTTTTAATTTATCCTGATACAACAGTCTAGTTGTCTTATTTTATTATTGTTGTTTCTCTTCAAAAGATCCAGTTTCTTGACTTATTATTTGTGCTGTTTTTCTTGTTACAGATTCATTTTCTGAATCATTCTATGGGTGTGCTCTGAGTGTTAGAGGCTCCAACCTGCACTGGGCAGTGCATCGGTGAACAGACTGGGTGGGAGGCTGGGCAGGCTGAGCAGAGTCTTGGCCAAAGACAATGGCCCGCTGAGATAAGGCACTGAAAGGAGGGAAGGAGTGTGCAGGGTTCTCCCTGCCTTTGAGATAACAGAACAGAGGGGCTTTGGAAGACTGATGGGATGTACGGTGAAGGAGAGGCTTCAATTAAACCAGAGTCCCAGGGATTCTGATAGAGACAACTAAGGGGGTGGATGGCAAACTAGGGGTGTCAGGAGAATGCCATTCCTGCAAGTCATCAAGCTAATTGTTTTTCTGCCACTTTCTTGGGAACTTATAATTTGACAAGAGTACTTTTCCCAGCCTGACTTTGCACAGGGGTATTTTTAGATAGTGACTCAGCAGGGAAGGATTTTCTAGAATTCCAATGTTATGTGAATGGTCCCCACCCTAGATTTCCTGAGGGCAGCCGTGGAGCATAGATGGGGCTCTGTGCCAGCCCATTTTTTCCTTTCCAGGTAGAGTTCACATGCTGCGAAGGGGAAAACTTTTCAGATGACAGCTCCAACAACTGGCTGTCAAACATACACACAAAACAGAACAAACACAGCCTGCTCAGACAGAGCTTCCACCAAGGCCCGGTGTGCTCGTTCCTCTTGCCTTACATGCCTCTCTTCTCTTCCTGTCCAATTCCCAAGACCAGCAGGCATATGCGCACAGCCTACTCTAGGTTCTTCCTTGCTGAAACCTGGAAGATTCCCAGATGGTCTGGACCTGGTAACACTTGAGTCCTCCCAGCTCTGTGGGTCAATGAAGCCAAGGGTCTTGTGTGTCCCTCGTATTGGCTACTGAAATCCCAGTGCTTGCTTGGCATAGTATCTTGCATCTAGTAGGCTCTCTTGATGCTTGTTAAGAGAATGAATTATTGAGTGAGTATATGAGTGAATCCCAGAACTATTTTAAGCACTCTGGAAGAGTATAGTGATCAATGGACCAAGAACATAAAGAAGTTAGCACATGCAAAATTAAGGACTAGGTAGACAGGGCTAATTGTGAGACACTAAGTGACTTGAGAATGAAGAAAGCAATAAAGACTAAAATAATTAAAGAAGATTTAAAAAGTGGACTTTGAACTTACCTTTGAGGTAGTTCAGTGGGAAAGATAAAGGAAAAAGTGTTCAGAGTTGTTATTCTAGAAGGAGGGATTAGCAAAAATGTTCTGAATCTGATTAGCTGATTCTTCTTTATCGAGCTCTACTCCTCTGCCCAGCTCTCCTGAGTAACTAAGGGTTCTACTCCCCGTGTAACTTATGGATCACCAGAGCAGAAGTGAGGAAAGTTGCAGAGTTTCCTTTTCTTTTTTTTTTTTTTTTTTTTT